CTCAAGATCTAATCTACATAGTGGGAAACAGAAACTAGGCATTACAGACCAATTCCCGCCATCGTTTTGGAAATTCCTATGACCCTCCTCAACGTTGTTTCATCTGAATTAACGTTATGCCTCTTTTGAGTAAAAATCTTTTTTCAGATCTTAAACAAAGGAACTACCCACGTACTTCTCGGTAGTCACTGTCCACTTTCATTAATTCCATTCCTTTTTCCCATTCTTCGGTGCTGATCCTTCCATCCTTGTCAACGTCCAACTCATGGAAGAGAGCCAAAAGAACGTTTGAGCGCTTTTGTTCCTCGGTACTGTATGGTGAATAGAGGCATTCAAGACACTTGGTAAGGATTTTGGACAATATTACGGTATTTTGTAACTGATCTATCGCAAGTTATAACATTGTATCTTATGAAACAGTCTTCTGCGCACTAGAAGCAACTCAACAACTGGTCCACCAGTTTTGCTTATTTTGAGCGCATCAACTACACATCTATCTTAATCGCTGGTTTTCAATGAAAAGATCAAGCTGTATGTGCTAACCCATGTTCCTGGAAAGTCGGCGTCACTGCTCTATTTTAATGGGCTTATGTTACCTCCTTTAGACTTATTTGGAACTATAATAAAAACAGTTGCATAGATTTACTACTGCAAAAGAATTAGGCCTCTCAGTTTGCGACGCCTGTTTGGAGCTTTGGGAAAGGAAATTTGAACCTTTTTAATGCTTAGTGCTTTTTTGCAACAGTGAAATTAAATGACCATAGATTAGGTGCTGGTCCATGGCTCCAAAATTTTTTTCTACTTGCCTGAGTTCTGTCCACTATCGTCGCACCTGAAGGATTACAAATTCACTATTGGTGTTTGCGAAAACACCCGCGAAATTCCTTCTGCTTCATCCAAAACGGTTTCCTTGTTCTTGACAGCACTAGGAAAACTCGTCTACTGACAAGCGGTGCAATAGATCTTACCGTCATGTTAATTGCGAATTCGGGGATTTCCGTAGACTTTATTTCCAGTACATTGGTAGTTCACAAACTGAGCTGTTTGATTATTTTTTATTCCAGTCGCTCTTATCAAAAATAATCAACAAAAAGTATTCAATTTGTACTAGCAAGCAGCTACTTAAATTGGAAAGGATTAGCACTGATGAAATTGGATACAGTACCATTCCAGCCGAGTGCGGTTTGTAATTCGTGGAAGTTGAAACTTCAAATATTTTTCTTTTGTATTTTCATAGTGTTCCAAGTATTCTGTTTGGACACAAATTTTCTCTAAGTCGTTTACAAGTGCTTCTGTGTTTTCTGTCTGTTTTAAAAATTTAACATTTTTTAGGGTGAATTATTCTTTCTGTTTAGAGAACGCTGTGAGCCTACCCTGATACAAATCTACTGAGTGCATCCACGCAGTTCACAAAATTGAGTATTTTGCAAATCTAGAAATAACCATTTCAATAACAATTAACATAGATAAAAGACATGCCTGTGAGCAGACTGAACCGGTGGGTGCTCCACCGACTGAGCTAACTAAGACAATCGACGGGGGCACAAACCTAAACCATAAGACTGAGGCGCCCTACATTTGTCCAATGAATTGGCGGTTGATAGGTGCCAATTTCGTTATGCTAATAGTTTGAGAACTGTTTCACAAGTATAACACCAAACGCTTTTAAACTCACGCCTCATTAGGGTCCTCCTGAATACGAAATGCCTTCCTGTACTCTTCGAAGCTTATCTCTTGATCCTTGTCAAGGTCGGCAAACTCAAGGAACTCCTGAAAAATGTAAATCCGATTTAGAAATTAAGAGCTTTAAATAAGAGACTGTCGCAAACAGGTGCAATGTTCCGACGACAAAATATCTGTGGAGATTTTCGAACTCACTTGTAGATTCATCGAGTCAAATTTGATCAACAAATTAATCTAGTTTTTATAGTTTCACATATTAATGTGCATGCATGAAAGTAATATAAATTTGATTGAGTTCCCAAGATATTCACTTTACGGACTTCGGAGTGTTGAGTAATACAAAGTTGGCAACGTCTACCTGTATGCCAGCCGGTTTGAAACCGAATATTCGGAGTCCGTCGGTCAATTCCTGTAAGTCGATTTTGCCGTCACCGTTTGTGTCCAGGATAGCAAATAGTCTTCTTAATCCAAGACACGTAGCCGCGCTCCGGCCGGACATTTTGGGACTAAAACAATGGAAAACGTAATATTACTTTTCAGAATAAAGCTGGGCAAACTCTACGGTTTTCGACTTGTGACAACAAATGGTACTAAATACTTTAGCTTTTGTAGAGCAATTACATACCCGGACTATACCCTCCATGCTTAAACGTATGTTCGAAAACGAACCGAAAATTCCAAGCGCACTTGCTAATCACACTCTGTCTGTCACAGTCAGTTCTCAGACTTTCCAAGTTTCCTCACTTCATTACTATCATTTGTGACTGATGTTGACGTCTCAGTTCACCGTGGTAAAAATTTGCAACGAAAATTACTGTGGAATTAGTTTCCGGCAAACGCCGTCCCAAGGTCGAAAGTGGATAACTTATACCTAGATTAGTAGTTGATGAACTTCTAGTTATGCCGATTCCCACTACGCTGATGCAAGCTTGCTTAAACACTTGGCATTGGCTTAAATAATTGGATTGTCAAGCCAAAGGGTGCACTCGGTCATCCGGATAAGTGCAACTAAAGTAGTCACAGTATGCTGGGCGACAGGTTGCTGGACACGGTGCTGATGTGCTATCCTAACCACATGGCTGAAAAATTTGAACTCTCTACTGCTGCCCTATGGTAAAGTTTGTGGAATTCTATTCACGGCATTTACATAGGATTCCTTGAATTTCTTGGACAGACCGGATTCCAAACAGCAAGGTCCAGTGCAATATACTAAAACTTGGGGCACAATCGACTCAGTCACACAAATCACCTGAACATAGAATCAACAGCTGCAAGTTACTTGTTGATTGTAGCTCAAATTTCTTTATTCCGATGGTTTCAGGGTAAGTTTGTATCACTGCAACCTTGATTTTAGATTGCATAAAAATCTGGCGCCCGCTGCAATAGGTAAGCCCTTTAGACAAGAAGCCTCACGACGGATGGCATATTTGAATGAGCAAGCGCAAATGAGATAGTTAGAAAGACACAGAGTTATTTTTCTCATCAACTGGCAAATGAATCTCCAGGGGTGCAGGATCATCTATTAGAAGAACTGGGAACAGAATACTCATTATGGACGGTCGTGAAAGGACCACCGTGTTGTGCACAACAAGTTCCTCTGACTTCTGTGGAAAACACTGTGATTCCTTTCCCTTTTTATGAAGTGACGATATACTGGACACCTGTCAGAGAGATTTTTCCGGAAACGAAAGAAATTAGCTGTCAATGCTGGTAAATTCTCTCTAACAAAAAGCTGTTGATCACTCTAGGCCCATTACTCACGTGACCGTAATATGGAACAAAATATTGATGTGATGTTTGACATACAGTTTGGTAGACAATCTTATGTTGAACATGCGGCTGACATACAGTTTGGTAGACAATCTTATGTAGACAATGTAGACAATGTAGACAATCTTATGTAGACAATCGTACGGTGACCTAAAACGCACATCGCACCATGAACTGATGGAACCCTGTGGAGTTGACTTGTGAAGTGTGATTACTAGATGAAACTAAAAACAAACTTAGCAACAAGTGATCTGAACACACAGTAGTAATAATCGACTCGTTCCGTGAAAAGTAAACGCGTCACTTTGAAAAAATATCCGTTTTGTTCTTGACAAACTCTAACATATCGAAATGTACCTGTATCTGTATATCATAAGGCCAAAGAAACCTGTTCCACCAGAGGTGGGCGTGGTTCCAAACTCTCAGTTCCAGGTAGAAGAAAAAAACTTAAGCAATGTCGACGCGTAGAAAGACGTGCTGTTAATGGTAGATACAAGTTAACATCATTTGCGCATATCACTCGCGTACATACTGACTTGAATTAAGTTATGTATGCGCCTCTTGGTTACAAAAATTTGATGATTTCCTCACAATTGAATATACGGCTGTTGACATCACTGATCACCAAACCGCTCGAAACAAGCCCACTAAAGTAAACATCCATGTATCGTGCCTGTTGTGTTCGTTCCTGTTCTGTGTGTTAGTCTCACCCAGATGTACACTGATGTAGTTTTGTGATGAAACTTTCGAGGATCATCAAAATTGGCGCCTATCTCGTGCATACACAAAACTAAATTTCAGCCTTAAAACCAAAACAACACATGGAATTATTTATTGGATCAAATCAGAGACCTCCTGAAGACATAGGATTATTTAAAATATTAATTAATCAAGGCGGTCACCAGTTTACCGAAAATACGGATCACTGTTCCGCGTACCATGTAGCAGTGCATTTAGCATACGGGGAAAGCAGTGATAGAAGGCTTATGAGTAACGGAACCATGAACATTGCGGTAAAGTGGGCTATCGTAGGACACTGTAATCATAACTCAGGGGACAAATGCGTGATTTATATTGTCGTTTTTCTTCACTAATGCGGAAAATCTTTCAACCCCTCGAGAGGGTACACACGTCAGGAGACAAGCTAGGGCTTCCCAGGGAACTCAGTGCACCAAAAAAGACAGTGTCATTTTCCTGCCGACTTTCGCAAAAAACGGCATAATAATAACCACTGCGAAAAACGGTGTACTTAGGGGGTCTTCGTGGGTGGATGGGTCCCGGTGGGATAAAGGTTATTCTGATATGAAACACTGCCGGGCTTGAATAATTCATTGTGGTCATATCGAGCCACTGAGTTGATACCAACGTGAGGTCTTTTTGTTCAATAGCAAGAACGTTGCCAGAATCACATAAGAGAAACCGGTAGCCTGTGGCTGCTTGGAAGACCATTGAGACAACAATTCTAGGAGTTACGCACCAAAGAAGGTTAAAAGTTAGATCATCAGTTCAGGGAAGCAGATCGAGGATTCACTAATTTAATCCATACTGAGGAAACAGCATCCAACCTTGAATAGAGGCAAATTTGTGGGCAGCTAGGATGTCGATTATCATCAGCCCTCTTGTGTAGGGCATGCGTGTGTCTGTGAATCGGTACGGTGGCAGAATGTGCAGTAGACATCACAATGTTAGAAAAGTTAAAGTAATTAAATGTACTTCCTGTTGGCCGCTGTAGACCCGCAGAAAATCGTGGCGTCAAGCTACAAAATCGTATCGTTAGTCTAGTCAAATAAAACTGTTGCAGTAATGTAAATATCTATAAATGTACTGAGAAACTCTCAGAAAAACTAGAAGCTTTGGGTTCAATGGCCGAAAATTTCACCTAGAAAGACAAACGCCACAATACTGTCGCCCAGCAAATCACAGTAGTCTGTCCTGTTCATATTGTTACGATATCGTGAGATCGCTGCAGAAAAGCTGGTAGTTACTTGGTTAGGTTCTCGGGTTTTAGTTTCAATTTAAGGTCAGCTTCATTTCCGTTATAATTGTTGCGTTTTTGGTTGGTATTCTTTTCGGGCTGTTATTGCGGACACTTTGTTGTTGCGTTATCAGTCAATGATTGTTGGTTGACTGCATCGCAGTTTGAAAATGCCGTTGGTAGGTGGAGATGTTGTCCTGTTGGTGAAGTCATGACACAGCAGTACGATACTGCTGTTGAATATGTTTGTCGCCGTGGAAATATCTAACTCTAGTCCTCACTGTTCCCTATAATGGCCGTATATTCACTGAATTATTCGATTTTCGTAATTACTGTTGGCGATGTTTATCGACAGCTTCGTGCTAACCTATATGTGGCGTCCTTTTTAATCACAGTTACACTCCCGAATCACGAGTTAATATGGTGAGTTGCTATTACCGTCATCTCCAGTAACTTGACTTCATATCAAATATGTGAGTATCGAAAATAATCATACGAAAGCTACTGTCCGAAGTTCCGGCTTCAAAAGCTAGGTATTTCCTATTTTTTCATATACATCGTCAACTGTCTATTTGTGAGAATGGGTGACACCAGCGCCAAGGTGGTTTAAAGCCTCACTTTTTCACTTGAATCTGGAGTCACGTGAGATCTGAGACGGATACAATCTAGCTCTTTTTTTTTTAAGTTTTCATGACAGCATACATAGTTTCATTAAGCGAGCAGTTCAGATCTCAGCTGTTTTTTGAATCGTTTTTTCTCTCCATTTTGCTCATGGACTGTACGGAACTCGAAGATTGGAGGCGGACGATCTAGTTCACTGGGGATTAGAGCTGTCGCAATAAGGTCAGACACTACCGGCGCTTTGCGTAACGCGCTTTAATGGCTACGAATATCTGACCATTCACTTCTTGATGTCGTGGGTTTGTCACCGAAAAACGAAACTGCACCCTGTGATGCGCCGTCTTGTAGGTCGACACTGATCTTTCAAGAGTCAACCGGTTTACCGCCGTTTCTATCAAATATGTCGTTCTGTTCGTTAATATTTTCAAGTCATTTTATGTTTGCATTAAGATTTAACTACATTTGTACAAAATATATGTTACTGTATTTATGGGTAGTCTGCGAGAATATAAAAATATCGTATATTTTCGGCTGAGCCTACTTGGCGGCTGGTGATCAAGGTCAAGACTACTGGCCACCAAATCTCATTGCAAATGCACGTTTAACGATACTTTTTTCTTTGCGTTTTTGAAATATTTACTCGGATTTCAATACAAACAGAACCCATATAGTGGAGGGACTACGGGCCACCAAATCTCATTGCAAATGCGCGTTTAACGCTACTTTTTTCTCTGCGTTTTTGAAATATTTACTCGGAGTTCAATACAAACAGAACCCATATAGTGGAGCTTATTTTGACTTGAATGTTAAGCTTTCTCTTGTAAACCTCGCCAAAGAAGGTAAATTTTACTGGGTTTCTCTATTCCTCTTGCTGAAGCGCTCTTAACCCAATACGGTGTGTCCAAACTGCCAGTTTACTCTACCATTGCACTTTTAGTGGTTGGTAATTTGATTGTAAGCGTGAACGACGTTCAGCGTATTCTTATTAAAAATTTTACTCAGTGCTTGTTTGAACACAAATCTGCGAAACAAAACACCTTTTGTGCAGCTGGTAATCTCGACTAATCGGAGGCCTTGGCGACAGTCGGATTGCTTTGTTGCGAGTGCACCAGGTTACAGTAAGTTCAACCAAAGCCTTCACCGATGAAATATATGACCCGAAGGTGATCTCAGTTGCGTGCTTCCATTCGTAACTTGTGACCGCTATGGTAAGGTTGGCCCACTGTGTAGTATGAAAAGAAACTTTGTGGTTCAGCAAGCAAAGTAATGAACTTCCGGCACAGATTCCCCTTTTTAGTCGTGTTATAATAGTATAATCCGTACAATTTTCAGTGAAAGGTAAAATACAGTGGATCGCAAAATTTCTGGCTCATAAAATTCTTTACTAGAACCATTATGCCTTACATATGAACAAAAGACAAAGATGCATATGCTCCAGTTGCCATGAGGAGTTGGGTTAAGGGAAGACAACACTGTTTTGTGCCCCTTATGATACACTCATTATAGGGGATTGAGCGTGATCTGTGAATAAACTTACAAAACAGGCCATCTTTCCGTCCCCACACTAAGCTGTTTGGTTTCTAATAGACTGACAGAAGTTTTTAAATGATTAAGTGAGCTTTATTTCAACAAGTATGTGATGCCAAATTATTTTGCCTCATTGACAAATGAATGCGATAAAAACTACTTCAAACTGTCACGATCCTATCTGTAAATTGGACCTTTTCTGATTTTAGTTGCACACGTTTGCCTTCATTTTCAATCACTTTTCACTACCCACAACATCCTGGCAGAATTTGTTCTGTGTGAAAAACACAAATAGCTCTTTAAGATCAATACAGTGCAACAGTTTGTCCATAAGAACCTTATGGAATATCTTGTGCCGTCAGACTCATTGGGTTCTTTAGTTAGTAACATACTGTTGCAAGTAAACGAGACTTTACGTTGATTCGCTATCCGAGAAGCCAGAGAAGCTGCATCGGATAAAGTTTGTTCTGTATCCTGTTATGTTCCTCAATGATTCAGGGTGAACTTAGTCTCTTGGGCCGTTAGATTGTGAGACTACACTTTGTTATTCCCACCCTATTTTACACACTAGCCAGAAATGCCTTGTGTTAAAGTATTCGACCCCAGATTATGAAATGGTGTACCCGCAAATACACATAAAACAACAATGGTTCATCCAAGTTCCTTCTTCCTGAGTTGTACGAAGGCTGAGCGGCTTTTATGCGCTTTCCGAATTCAACAAAATTTGGGAGAAATTGACGGACATACCACGGCACTAGATAAAACTTCTGAACACTCGAACGAATGCTTAGAAAGCAAGTTCGTCAGAATGAACTTGGGAAATTTAATTATTATACGTTAGTAAGCGATCGGAATCCTCTGTTAAAACGACGCTCTATTTTGACCTGAAAATGAGAATAATCGGTACCGAACAAGATTCATTTGTAGACAACACAGTAATAATAAGTAGGGCATAGGAAATCGCCAATGATTGAAATTTAGCAACTAAAAAACGCGTTCGTCACAATGCGTAAACCTCGATTCTGGGTCGACTTAGATTCTACAGATAAATATTGGGTAACCCGTTTGGACTCTGTAATTGAGGATGGATTTCACTACTTTGCGCCGTGACTGTTGGCTTGTTTGCTGGACTGAACGTTTTGGGTAAAAGTTCAGAAGCAATGTTCACTCAAGCGGTGCTGAAAAGTACGCAGCAAAATAGCTCGGCTGATCATTTGAACAAATCGAAGTATGTGCCATTTTTATTGCGTGCAAAATGACCACAATAAATTTTCACGGGAAAGGAAATCGACAATCTTTCCAAGGGCTGCTTTTTTATAAATTATGTGTTTATCCTTGGCCTTGAAGGAAGTTATGCCTAAATGAATAATACGATCATGCTACTTACTCAGTTAAGAGGTTCGTAAATGTGAAAACTACCAAAACTCCGTCTGTAAAGCCACTGGTTTTATCATTACCCTTTTACAGTATAATAGCGTAATTATTTGCCACTGAGAAACTCCCACAGGGAATCGGTGCCAAGTGAGAATGAATTAATCATTTCTAATCGTAATTGCTTGCAGATAATAGAGATAATACTCTACGGCTGCAAACTTACACACTATTTTGAGCACACAGAAAACAGCACAACAACTCTTCAGTTCTAACAGGCTACAATGTAAGTTACTTCATATCTAAATCTAGGCCAGCTCTAGGTCACTATGAATTGGGATTGTCAGCCGATTATTGATTTATTAAACGAAACTGCTAAGATTGGTTTAGTAGGACAGTGATGCTCAGCAGCGTGTAGACATATTCTCATTTAAAATCAATAACAGCATAATAAGCGTAACACACGCTCTCTTCCGGTAAAGTACATTTTTCAGTTTTAAAGATAAACACACTAATCAGTAATATCAGCGGCCACCATGATTTTGAATGAGATGAAATAGGTAATAACAACAGATAATGTATTAGGCAGAAACATGTAACAAAAATTAACTACTATTTGTAATCCACTCATTCAGCTTTGGATTGCTGAACTTTGGCGAATGCTAGAAATTCACTGTAGTCCAACTTTCCATCTTTATTTGTGTCGTACTGTGCAATCCACTCGACTATGCCGGAAGAAAGAATCGGTATCTCCAAAGCGTCAAAAACAGCCTTCAGTTCTTCCACTGAGATGTCACCGGATTTGTCTTTATCCAGTGCTTCAAACACTTTTTTCCAGCTGTAAAAATAAGAACGAAAACATGGTATATTTGTATCTAAAAAGCATATAAAATCAATAAAACAACAAATTATACTTTCTTCCAGTGTTGTGCCCACTGAATACCGAGTTTTCTCTTTAGGAAAGGCGGCCTAGTAGTCAGAATATGGTAACGACAGGGCTCCAGCAGAATGAAAAGAGTATAGTTCTATGGTTTGGGCCCTTTGTCAGGTTTTCTGGGGACAGGTGTTCCTCAAATGGAACCGAGTGAGCGTGCTATTTTATATGGCTATGTTAGACGGAATCGCGAGCCTCACTTATTTTCCCAGATTTTTAATGTTAATTTTCAACACTGTGTAGGCTTTCAATTTGTCTGCCCAGTCAACACAGGTGTAAATGTTGACACTTACTGTAAGTTTTACATGCAAGCCTACCATGGTCTTGTGACAGCTACGCTACCTAGTCCCGGAATTTAGTGTCCACGACAGATTTCTTTGATCATTTAGCCTAGTTTACTTCTCCGTATTTCGGTAACCATAGTAATTTGCATATAATCGAACGGACACACATCTCCGTCTATTGACAGAGATCAAAGTGCAAGTTAGAAATTTTAGATAAGTGTAAGCGCTCGGCGTTTAAATGTTTGTAAGTAGGAAAACACAGGATTAATCAGCACTATTTTTCATATTTAGACATGATGTTAGGCTCCTCATGGTTTTGCAACGTCAACAACAGTGTTTGAATACATGACATATTTATCTTTGGATTTTTAAACCACTTCCAGGCAAACAGGAAAAATATTCTAAATGATTCGATGTTCACGGCTCCGGTAATTATGACAACTTAGAGGGAGCCTGCAGGCAACTTTCGTGATGGAAAGTTGAGTTATATTCCAGGCTACTTGGTTACGTTTAACAAGTGGACTCCTTGCTATAGATTTGAAATACCACTCATATCCGAATGCACCTTATTGTGCACGGGCTGTTCCAGAGGACACGAGAACTCTCATGCTTAAAAAGTTCCGCTGCATACAGATTAGATTGTTTCCGGGGAACAACCTACACCCAAAAAGAACCATTTACTCTGAAAAATCTACCACAAATGGACCAGGGCCTGTGAATCTGAGATTACTTTAAATAACAAGGCAAACAAATTAGACGTGATATGTTATTTTCTTTGGCCAGGGAAGTGCAGCTTTCAAGAGAACCACGCATATCGACTGGTTTGAAGCTCTAAAACTCCGTTCTGTGCAAGTTTAAACCCTATATGCACGCATTTATTTCATTGTGGGATTAATTAGTCCGTCATATGTGATATTTCTCCACAAAGAAAAGCTATGTTTGGCGGGGGAATTCGTTTTTTTCTTAGTTGATTACATTTCTTGTTGATTTGTGCCAAACTCCTGCACTCGCAGGCATATCAAATTTTCTATTTGGTCCTGAATTAAGGGTACTACAGTCAACACGAGAAGACGAACTTCCACGTAGAGAAAGTACCTTGACCAGAGCTGAAATGTATTCGAAGATTATGACATCAAAACCTTTTACCGAATCGATTGTTCCCAGTAAATTTTACCTCGTCCAACGAACTGTCTAGCAACTTCCTTGTGCGGAATGGCTGGCAAAATTTATAGGCCAAACAACCAGAAAAATGTGCACAAGGATAACGGGACATAAATAGCATAAGGGGAGATTTTACCAATGAAATCCAAATGAGCCTTCACACCTGCATGAGTCTTCATTCCAGTTAATCGAAAAAATGAACTTTTGTGGCGCGCATCCTCGATTTTCCTACCAGAGTGCCCCATAAAGTGCCAATAGTGGTTTACTCCATTAGTAATGCATTTGTTGTGAATGTCTCTGAAACGTTTCATGCGGCGTCGAAAATTTCTGATCTCTGATCAGTGAGGTTTTCGTCTTTACGCAAGAACGCTCCTTTATGATGGTTGGTTGCTGTAAATGAACTTTTATGGCACGCGCATTCTCGCTTTTCCTACCAGAGCGTCCCATAAAGTGCCAATAGTGGTTTAATCCATTAGTAATGCATTTGTTTTGAATGTCTCTGAAACGTTTCATGCGGTGTCGAAAATCTCTGATCAGTGAGGTTTTTGTCTTTACGCGAGAACGCTCCTTTATGATGGTTGGTTGCTNTCTTTACGCAAGAACGCTCCTTTATGATGGTTGGTTGCTGATTTTTAGATAATTTCAGGCGAATGAGCAAAGCAATAGTCGATGATCATCTGGGTAACGGCAGTTGACAAATGTCATCCAGATTCTGCTAGAATATGTGAGTTACACATATAGATGAATCCTTTACATCTAGAGTATTTCCTCCAGCCAAAGTTGGAAAATCTGTCCCAATTTCAAAAAGCTTCCAACGACACCGTGGCACAAATGAACTTTCAATAAAACAAAGCGCCGAAAGTGTACAGCGTAGCTTTTGGTGTCCGCCCACCCACGAAGAAACGACCGCTTCCGAAAGTGATTACCCGAAGGAAGAAGGAATCTGGCTGTGATTTAATCAACATTAGTATAACTCACTCAATTGGATCTTCCACCATTCCGAGGCCAACCATGAATTCCTGCTTTGTGATCACTCCATCACAGGATACGTCAAGATAATTTCTCAATTTCTGAGGGTTCAACAAACGCATTGGATGATTAGTAATCTTACCGACAAGAGTATTCTGCAATTAATGTTGCTATATATCCTCGTCCCTAATAATTAGTCAGGGTAAATCAAGAATAATCACGAGATTTGGAGGAGTCGGTATACCTTGAACAGCCTTTGTTGCATAAACGTAGGTTGTCAGATTGTTAGCTAACATCTTTCATATATTGATATTCTTTGATTACAATGAAAGTGCTACTCAATCGCTTCACTCTTCTTCCGTTGGGTCATCATAATGATCATAATCATCACCATGGTCGTCATCGACAGCATGACATCAGTTTTCAACACCATGCTTCACTGCCGTACAACCGAGATCCTATTGAAAGCTTTATTGTGAAGAAAGGAATAAAGGTGGAAGCGAAGGGGACTTAACGCATGGTTATTACATTCATTTCAAGGTGCATACACCCCCAGACGCTCATCCAGGCAATCTGGGTAGAAACTGACAAAAAGATTGCCATTGATATCGGTTGGCAGCCATATCTTGCAGCGTCTCCAATCAGGCGCAGTAAGGATCACGCGGTTCCCATCCCAGGAGGAGAGTTACACCGACAGTATCCAAGCTTTTCGTACTATCCTTCATACCCCTCTGTCAGGTCAAAGATTGACCACCTTCCTTCGGCAAGCGATGTATAGGCATACGCAGTTTCGTTAGGTAAAACGTGAGGCACAAATTGTTCGTTGGATTTTGTTTAGTCAGATTCAGCATCCAATATCTTAGCGAAGATTATCAAGTTTGTTTGGATTTTTGACGGGTCGAAATATATAACCTGCTCTTTCCTTTTTCCAACAATTAGTCCTTCATTTTCTGCTGTACAGAGTTTTTTGGACAAAAGAAAGGTAGAATGTAATGAGTGGAAGGCCAAGCTATTGCGCCTTGTCTTAAGAGAAAGGAAAACTTACAGAACTATACTCCTCATCAATCTTCATTGATTTCATTCCCTTGTCCCATTCTTCTTGGCTTATTTTACCATCGTGGTTAACGTCCAGTTTTTCGAAAAGCTGCAGCAATATCTGTGTACGTTTGTCTTTCTCCAAACTGTGAAACCATTGGGAGAATAGGGGAAGGATTAAAGTTGTAAGCCATTCCGATTTTCCAGTCATGCGAGTTGAAATTCGTCTTCAATTTACGTGGGAAAATAACTGGACTTATTTTGTGCCACAACCATTCATTGGTTCGTTCGCCCAGCTAGGCATCTTAACTGTGAATGCCNCTACCTAGTCCCGGAATTTAGTGTCCACGACAGATTTCTTTGATCATTTAGCCTAGGTTACTTCTCCGTATTTCGGTAACCATAGTAATTTGCATATAATCGAACGGACACACATCTCCGTCTATTGACAGAGATCAAAGTGCAAGTTAGAAATTTTAGATAAGTGTAAGCGCTCGGCGTTTAAATGTTTGTAAGTAGGAAAACACAGGATTAATCAGCACTATTTTTCATATTTAGACATGATGTTAGGCTCCTCATGGTTTTGCAACGTCAACAATAGTGTTTGAGTACATGACATATTTATCTTTGGATTTTTAAACCACCTCCAGGCAAACAGGAAAAATATTCTAAATGATTCGATGTTCACGGCTCCGGTAATTATGACAACTTAGAGGGAGCCTGCAGGCAACTTTCGTGATGGAAAGTTGAGTTATATTCCAGGCTACTTGGTTACGTTTAACAAGTGGACTCCTTGCTATAGATTTGAAATACCACTCATATCCGAATGCACCTTATTGTGCATGGGCTGTTCCAGAGGACACGAGAACTCTCATGCTTAAAAAGTTCCGTTGCATGCAGATTAGATTGTTTCCGGGGAACAACCTTCACCCAAAAAGAACCATTTACTCTGAAAAATCCACCACAAATGGACCAGGGCCTGTGAATCTGAGATTACTTTAAATAACAAGGCAAACAAATTAGACGTGATATGTTATTTTCTTTGGCCAGGGAAGTGCAGCTTTCAAGAGAACCACGCATATCGACTGACTTGAAGCTCTACAACTCCGTTCTGTGCAAGTTTAAACCCTATATGCATGCATTTATTTCATTGTGGGATTAATTAGTCCGTCATATGTGATATTTCTCCACAAAGAAAAGCTATGTTTGGCGGGGGAATTCGTTTTTTTCTTAGTTGATTACATTTCTTGTTGATTTGTGCCAAACTCCTGCACTCGCAGGCATATCAAATTTTCTATTTGGTCCTGAATTAAGGGTACTACAGTCAACACGAGAAGACGAACTTCCACGTAGAGAAAGTACCTTGACCAGAGCTGAAATGTA